AATGCGTGGTAGCCAGATCTGGGGGGGTCCCGTCAAGGCCCGCAAAGGGGGCTGGGCAAGGTGAAGGAGGCAAGAGCCACACGCATCGCAGCCGGGCGTGTGTGACCCTCGTTCTTCGGGGGTTCAGAAAGGCAACGTCCGTTCGAACGCCTGAAGTGTTTTCTCCCGGGTCTCTCCCGCCTGGGCCGAGAGGCCGCTGCGAGATAAGCCTGCTGCCGCTTGACGGCCGCCCGCACGCGCTCCCCGCTTTTCAGGCCTCACGTCCCTTAGCACAGTCTCCCTTTGCTGGTTGGCTGAGAGAACCGAACATTTTGGGCATCTCCTCCCATCCCTGCTCTTCCATGGCAGATGGGGGACCAGTCCCTGTAGCTTCTGCCGCGCCTGGAGGTTGCTGGGGCAGCACCTTTGCCAGCTAACTCTGGGCAGCCATCAAGGCAGATGTCACCGGATCCCCGTAGCTGCTTCTGGGGTGGGGGGAGGTTCTTGTCCCATTCAAAAATTGGTCCTCCTTTTACTGACTGCCGTTCCAGATGTGCCGTGCTACTGAATAATTGAGCAGCATCACGGTGCTCAGATAAGAGCAAAGCGCGGCTTTATCAATGCTGGAAATGGGTCCGCAGGATGGTGTCTTCACATCCCTGAGGCTGGTGAAGAAAAACGGTGGTTTTCCTCTGATTTTAGGGCTAGCTGAAATGGGTAGAGCAGAATTGCGCTGGAAGGTAGTCTGGGGGCCACTGGCATTGCTCTTCGTGAGTTCTGGTGAGAGGATACTTCATTTAACCTTGAATAAGTGCAAATAGCCCCCGCTCTCTGGAATATTCCGCCCCCGGAGGCGAGATTGGCCCCCTCACTCCTGGCCTTCCGAAGGGCTTTGAAGACCTGGCTCTGCCACTTGGCCCCGGGCGGGGAGCGAATACTTCAAGCGTGGGGATGGCTAGCCCCATAGAGGCCTGCTGTCTTCAGCCCCAATCCTTCATCTTCTTGGACTCTCTTCTTCTTTTTTTAGTAATGTTTTTAAAATTTTTATGTTTTATGTATTTATGGTTTTAATGTTTTGTGTGAGCCGCCCAGAGTCCCTAAGATTTTAGCCTGCAAGTTCTAAAAGGCCATGTGAGTCTGGGTATGCGTATGACGATAGACACAGATACTGCACAGAAGGTGCTAGAAGATTGCCTGCAGAATCAGTGCCAAGGTGATGGTGGACCATGGAACAGAGCTGGCCTGTAGCTGGAAGAACAGATCGTCTGTGTACCCAAGTCACCCATCCAGTGTGCCCTATGATAGATAGCAGTTCTTGGGAAGGTTGAACCTCGACCTGATATGTCTGAAATTCAGGAGCTGTTGTAGGATTGAGTGGAACTAAATACTGTAGGACTAAAGCAGTAGCAACAGAAATACTGATCCAAGATGCACCTTTACTATTTCTCCATGCAGGGCTGGCGTTGTGCCCCCCAAGATGGATCCCCTACAGAGATGAACTCTGCCTCTATCTACCGGGTGCTCCTGCTCTCTCCTGGAAGGAGGCCAGGGTCTTCTGTCAGGGCCAAAAAGCAGATTTAGTTGTCATCAAGGATCACAGCAAGCAAGTAAGAGGAGGTCTTTGCAATCCTCACTCTACTGGGGAATGGAAAGAGGAGCGGGAGAAAAACTCTGTGCAGGGGCTTCAGCTGCTCTGAAGCCAGCTCTGCCGCAGATAAGGCCACAGACAGGAGCTAGATCATAAACAGGCTTTCTGATGTGAAGCCATAGGGATCCTGGCGATGTTCTGGAAAGCCGTAGGAGTGGCAACTGGAGAAAATGCTGCTATGGCCTCAGCCTCGCCTTTGAAATTTGCCTTGGCACAGATGTTCCTGAGGGACCTTACAGAAGGTGCCAGGGGTCAAGCATCATACTTTTGGATCGGACTGGCGTGGCAAGAGGCTCAGCTCACCTGGGTGGATGGCACTCCAATATCACAGAGTTGGTATAGGTGAGGGAGGATAGAGCTTGGTGGTCAGCTGGTGTGTGTCACAAGAGTCGGTTGGAGTGCGGTAACGTCTGCGAAGCATTCAGAGGTGCGTGCAGAGGTGGCTAGGAGGCAAATCTGCCTTCCATCTCCCACCACCTCCTGGCTGGGGAAGACCTGCAAGGTGGCGTCCGCATCATAGGATATCCAGTGAAATTCTTTTTGGACGGAGTCCTAAGTACATCCTTGGGAAAAGGTACCTCTCCTCCAGCTGATGCCTCGGTTTTGGATTCTTCGATTTCACTAGCAACTGGCTCCAGGGCCACCCCAGGAAGGACCACTGTGTACAGCTTGTGGGCATCTACGCTGGACAGTGGAGAGACTGGGACTGTGGCGCCAGCACCCCATTCATCTGCGAGATGCCTGTAAAAGGTATGGCAAGAAAAACGTCCCTGCTCGCTCCCTTTCTTTCTCCCAGCCTCAAAACCCAGGGGGAGTAACAACACCCGATAGGTACAGTGGAAAATGCAATTGAATTAGGGGTGTTTACACTGTCGTAATGAAGAAAAAGGCATCATTGGACCCCTCCAGAATCACTTAGTCCACATCTGTTACATGCACCGGACGACCTTAGGGGAACTCACCACCAGGACAGGATAGCAAGAGATGCTTCGTGTCGTGGTTCCCACGTTACTGTTACCTAGTAGTAGAGTGCCCCCGAACGTGGAGAATTCATCTGCCCTTTCCAGAATAGAAGGCATTGCTAGATTTTTTCTCCTTGGTGTGAGACCAGATCCTTTTTGAAACTGTAGCGCTTCTCTCTCTCGTCCAGATGCCTTTTCCAGCACCATGAGAAAAGTGCGCTTCCGCTCTCACTGCTATGCCTTCCATTTCCCATCCTTCCGGGAACAGAGGTCATGGCGGGAGGCCCAGTCTTTCTGCCAGGAACTTGGGGGGAACTTAGCAATTATCCATGATGAAGAGGAGAATGCTTTTCTCTCAAGTAAGAGATTCGCCACTTCCCCGGGGCTTTATTTAGATTTCTAATTTGGCCCGGTGCGGTTGGTCTTCTGAGTTGCATAGGCTGATTGAAAGCGACCTAGTTATTTAAAAAGAGGTTGGAATTGTAAGACTCAGCCATTTCCGTCCTTCGGTTCTCTGCTCTTGCTCTTCTAAGAATGTATATACCTGAATATTTTATGGAGAAGACAGACAGACATTTAGACAGATGTAGGTAGTCAGTGCTCTTAAGGTTATCCTCATCCCTGCTGGTTCTACCCAACGTCTTCCAGATGCCTTTCCTGAGAATGGCTGGCACGTGTGGATCGGTCTGCGCTTGGGAGCCCTGTGGAAGTGGAGCGATTCCTCCCCCCCCACCTACCTCCGGTGGCACTCAGGTACTTTCCTGGGCCCCTGCTTCATATGGACTCCGTGGCACGGCTGAAACCTTCTTGGTGTCCATCTGTCATTTGCCTTGACGTTTCCTCTTTTTTAAGAACGTTTCTGGTTATAATTTAACATGAACAAATAAATGGCAGAACCAAAAAGCGTTATCACGTTACAGCGCAACACTCCTGTAATATCGTCATGCTACTTTAATGAAAATAGCATTAGAGCGTTACAGAGGGATGGCGTTACAACCCATGAGCCCATTTCCTGTCACGCCATCTTGTTAAAATGACAACGAACAGAGAGTCTTTTTCACCTTACAGGGATGTGGTTAAAATCACACTTTTTCAAGTGGCATTTCATGGTGTTTTTATTTTATGCTATCGTAGAGATTGGAAGAAGGTTTTAATCCTGTTGGTAAGAATGGCTAAACATAAGTAAATGTGGATAAAATTGGCCCCTGCTGCAGAGAGTATTGGAAGTGTGGGGGGCTCGCTGACTCCCCCGTCCCCCTCCCTTCAGCCCCGCCAGCAGGGCAGGACCAGTGTGCGGTGCTTAGCCTTCAGCCCCGGGATGTCGAGCAACACGGGACATGGCACACCAGGCCTTGCGGTGCGCGCCCTGCAGCCGAGATCACAGGTTTCATCTGCCAGCTCCAATACGGTAAGTGCAGTGAATCCGAGCAGAAATTACCAGGGAGATCCACATCCGTGCTGGCCTTTTCTAGTAGTCCTCAACCTGACAGCTTCTAAATAACTGAGAAGTGCGAAAGCCTGTAGAATAGCAGCCTACCCACGTCTTGCTGTGGAACAACAGTGGTGACTCCCACAAAGGGAAGCCGTGATTCATGAAGCTAGGAGAATTCTTGTGTGTTAGCAGCCCTGAAGACTAGATTGTGCCCTGGTCTGCTGACTTTACTTTTACCTAAGTCCTTTCTCCCTGATAGCATTTGAGCAGCTCTAGAAAAGCCATACCCTTTCAGGGAGCTTCACATCCTCCTCAAGAGGTGATTGGCATGTTATTTCAGAATCCAGGTGTAAATTCCCTCTGTAGATTGTTTTCCCTGGATTTATCTGAAGGTGGCCTAATTCATTCTGTTCTTTATTGGCAGATTTCTGTGGCCCTCCAGAGTCTGTGCGGTTTCCCCTCCCGGGCGGGATGGCTCTTTATGCCACAGCTGATGTCACTTTCTCTTTGTCTGACCATGCCACCTGCTCTCTGGCTTTGACCTGCTTTCATCCTAATGGTACCCTTTTCTGGATCGTCTTTGAGTACAACGTCACTCATATGCATGGCAGCATCTTTACTGAGCACGGCAGATTTTTGGTCCGCAGGAATCACCCTCATGCACCTTTTTCCCCCGGGCTCAACACGTGGAGCTTTGTCACCTACCCAGATGGCTTTGCGTGCTTCTTCAACCACCAGGAGCACTTCCGGCTGTCTGACAGCCAATATGTCTTCCTTGCAAACGTCAGCTCCTTGCAGATAAGTGGAGCGACCGTTGCCAATGCTTCCTTAGGTAGGTTGGTCCGGCACGCCAACATTAGGTACGGCAAGGGAGCCCAACCCTCAGGGACGACAGGCCTGGTCTGGCTTGGCAGATGCCGATCCCCTCCCTGGCTGGAGAGGGGCCCTCAGAACGGTGGGCCTGCTGCTTCTCCGGGAAGCTTGGCGGCCATTCTGCTCTCCTCACAGAGGAAGCCCCGCTGTGATAGCTGAGCTGCTAGCTATGCACCGGAATTAATGAGGCTACTACTAAGGCAGGAGGTTCCCTCTCAGTCCTGGGACTCTGCATTTTTGAGCAAAGATGCACGTCTCCAAATCAGAGCAATTCTGAGGCAGAAACCGAATTTAAAGGGTTGCGGTTGTGGCTTTTCTGAGCGGTTTAAAGAGGTGTGGAGTTCCTGCTGCCACCCGTGGGGATACCTTCACCTCTTGGCATCTTATTCCAGAGTATCAGCTCTCCTCTGACTTGCACTTCCCCTATGGGAGCAGTCTGCAGCTGGCAGATGCCATCCACTGCTACCTGGGCAACTTCACCATTGGGCTGTGGATCCGAAGCGCCTTCCGGGACTCTCCTCGGATGTGCGTGGTCAGCTACTCCTTGAAGTGGCAACAGCAGGCAGAGTTCGCGCTCTTCCTTCTCTCCCCTGCTGGACTGGAATTCCACGCCAAGGGGTGAGGCGGGCAGAGTTTGTGCCATCTACCGTCCCTCCCTGAGGCCACTGTAAGCACTTGGCACGTTCCTCTGACGTCCAAACGGCCACCCTCTCTGAACATTAGCCATACGGCCTTGCTTTTGAATTGGCAACGTTGGACAGTCGCAGACAGAATCAGGCAACTTTTCCCACTTCCTGCTGTGCTGCTCCTTGCAGGGCCGTGCTGTTCAGCAGCACCCGTGTCTTCCTTTTGGATGGATCCTGGCATCATGTGGCTGTTTCTGTCTCCAACACTCCTAGCGTCCCTCCCTTTGAAGTGTTCGTGGATGGGGAGGCCTGGGAGCCAGAGGCATCTGAGAGTACTGGCTTCCTGTGGAAGGGGTTATCCCTGGGAGGAAGACTGAGTGTGGGGCAGCTGGAAGTGGGCCATGGAGGTGAGTCCAGACTGAGTCTCTTGGGGATGATTTGCACTGGGGCATCCATGGCAGATCTGCATCAGTGCCACCATCAGTCCAGGAGTTTAAGTAACGGCCAGTGCCATCTCTCGTGCCCCCCCCCCCCCGGTAAGGCCTGTATCTAAGGGAGAGAAACGTCCTGCCTGCTGTTATTTATTTATTTGTTTATGTTTTATTTATTTATTGCATAAGACAAGGGTCTTGCTAACAAGGGTCACCTTGCAGGGGCCAGCTTCTATGTGGGTGATCTGAGTGAGATGAATCTGTGGGACCGAGCCCTTTCTGAGTTTTCAGTGAAACAACTGGCAGCCTTGAGAACCAGGTGGAAGTTCCCCGGGAACGTGGTGAACTGGAGCCAGCTGGTTGCGAAGAAGCCTCCAAGTGTGCAGATCAGCCCTCCCAGTGAAGAGCCAGGTGAAGCTCCAGGGCAGAATTCTGAAGGGTTGGGCGACCAGGCACCAGCTATGGCTGCCCTTCTGTTGGGGCATCTAGATGGGCTGGGTTGGGTGTGATCCAGCTGCAGAGTCCTTGGGGGTTCCTGGTTTCCCATTTGTCCTTTGCACGTGCCTGTTGGCCTGTTTGTTCACATCCCTCTACCTGTGAAAGTCTGGTCAGTTGCTGCCTCTGTCCGCAAGAGAAGTGGGTGATAATGCGTATACTAGGTCGGTTCCCAACCGCTGGTACCTCCTTCCTTGCTGCCTTCTTTTCTGCATTTATCTGGGGCTCGTGCCCAGAGCCTAGCCCGGCCCTTGGTCTGGGGATGAGCTCCCAAGTGGCTAAGGCAGCAGGAGTTTCTTTGTTACTCGAAAAAGCTCCGGCCCGTCATCAGCTTTCAGAGCTTCCCAGAGAGAAGGGTTAAGTTCGCTCTGGTGCCTTTGGAAATAAATTGTGAACCGGAGTGTTTTGCTCCCCCAGCTCGTCCTTTTGTGTGGTTTGGCCTCCTCCGGCTCAGAGGGAAGGCTTTGGTTCTCTGCACAGACCCGGACCGGCCTGTCCTCCACATCAAGCCCCTGCCTGGTCCGTGCACCATGCGTGCCTTCTGGGGACTGCAGCTAAACGGTCGACTTCGCAACGTTGCGGACCCTCCTGCCTGTCTTCTGGTCAGCGGTGGTGGTTTATTTTCACCTTTAGCCCTATATTTTGCATAGTGTTTGTCTTTTTTGTTCCCGTGCACCCTGGACAAGTCTGAAGGATGTGATTCTGTAAGGGTGCTGGCATTCCTGAGCCCTTCAGAAAAGTACTCCTTGATTTATGAACCAAAGGTGCTAACCTAATTTGAAAAACCAGTTCAAGGTTATAGTTTCCGTAAGCGCTTAAATCACATCCAGTTCCATAAGTGTGTAAGCCGCTCTTTGTCTGCTCTCTGCAGGTTGCCCCAGACGGCTTCTCCACGCTGAGTAGCTCGGACTGTTCTCCTGATCCTTGGAGCACCTTCCGCCTCTTGCCGGACCTGCGTCTGCAGAATCTGCACTCAGGGTTCTGCTTGTTTCAGGAAGGCACGCATTCCAGGCTGTATCTGGGAAAATGCACTCCACAAGCTCTGTTCTTTTTTCTGGATTGGGGTATGTTTTTTAAAAAAAATATTGGGTCCCATTTTTCCTGCCAGGAAGGCTGTGTCTTCTCTCTGCCTCATTTGGTGCTTTGAAGAACCCTGTGGTGAAGGGAAGTAGCTGGGACGAATGAGCGGCATTTCCCAGGACCCCCTCAAGCGCTACAAGGACTGGGGCCACTTGCTTATGCCGCTGAGCCTGCACTGCAGTCTGAGGTAGAAGGAAGGCGGCTGCGTTCATAGCACCATCCTGGCCTGCTCTTTTCTCGCCTAGATGTGCACTGCCCCCATTCTAGGGGTTGGAGATCTTGGAAGGACAAATGCCTCTTCTTTGTGCTGGATGCAGCTCTCGAGTGGAGCCAGGCACAGCGGTTCTGCCAGAGGTTCCACGGTGGGAGCCTGCTCTCCCTGAACAGCCCGCAGGACCTGGTGAGCAGCCTCCCTGCTCCGACTGTTGAGCCTTGGGACAGGCGTTTCCGGCAGGAGGTGCCTTTAGGAAGAAGAAGGCCGAGGGCCTACCCCGTCCTGCGTCTTTCCTGGTGGCTCTTCCCTCTGGGAAGCTCCCAAGCGTGGCAAGGAGACAAGGGCCCTTCCTCCCCTTGGGCCGCTATATCGCAGAGCTGTTGCCAGGGATTTGGGTGGTCAGGCTAGCAGCAGTGGGCAGATGCTGTGGGCTTGGCCTGTCTCTTTCAGCTCCAGCTTGTAAGCTGATAGCCTGAGGGCAGGGAATCCTGACATAGAGTACAGTATGCGCTGTCCCTGTGTGTTCATCCCAGATCTGGCTGCAGGGGGAATTGCCAGGGAGCATCTGGACTGGTCTGTACAGCAGTGGCCGAGATCTGTGGAGCTGGGTTGATGGGTCCCAATTCAACCAAGCCTTGCGGCGGTAAGATGCCTTCCCACCCCTGGGGCTCCCCTCCAGCTAAGTAGCAGAAGGCCTCCACTCTCTGCTAAGGCTGCAGTCCTTTGCTCCTCACTGGGAAGTGAGTCTCAGGACTCACTTCTGCAAAGCGTGGTGTATTGGTTTATTGAATTTATATTGCTCTATCCCCGAGCTCTCAGGACAACATGTAAAGCAAATAACAGTAACAATCATAACGCTAAATTAATAGAGTAACAGAAAAGTGATAATGTGATGCCAAGTAGAGGACAAGTTGATTGATTATGTGCCATCAGCCCTAACTCCTAGCGTCCATATAGATATTCTCCAAGACGATCTATCCCTAACCTGTACTTTCAAGTCTCCCAATGATCCCCTCATCACCATTGTACCTGAGTTCATCCGCCTTGCTGCTGGTCGTCCTCTTTCCTTCCACCTTTCCCAGTGTCAGAGCCTTCTTCAGAGAGCTGGGTCTTTGCATAATGTGTCCGAAGTAGGATAATTTAAGCCTGGTCATTTGTGCCTCGAGAGAGAACTCTGGGTTGATTTATTCAGTGACCCATCTGTTTGTTTTCTTGGCTGTCCACGGTATTCTCAGGAGTCTTCTCCAACACCAAAGTTCAAAGGCGTCAATACTCTTCCTATCCTGCTTCTTTAAAGTTCAACTTTCGCTTCCATAAAGCATCAGAGGGAATACCGTGGCTTGCCCACTTCTGAGCTTTGTAGGTATAGACACATCCTGGCATTTGAATATCTAGGGGACCAGTAGTAGAGCACAAAGAGTGGGTTCTTTTGGACCAAAAAATGCAGCAAGCGGACCGCAAACATTGCACTCCACCAACAAAAATAACCAAGATTTACTCTTTCCAACCTAGCATGTTAGGTATGCGCAGCCACTGGGATCTTCTCTGACCCAGCTAAATGTGTTGCGGAGCTAACTCTTTTCTTCCGCATCGCCTCTTCTTTGTCTAATTCCTTTCCAACATAGCTTCATGTTCTCCCTGGGGCCTTCCAGCATGGCAGTCTGCATGCTTGCTCTGACCTCCGGCTTCCTGAAGGCCGAGCCGTGCCACAGGCCTCACCGGTGGATCTGCCAGGCTCCCCGCCAAACCGGTAAGAGCGAGGGTGGGGTGCTGGGGATCAGCACGGCTCGGCCCTCCGTCTCGCAGTTCTGCTGTCAGGCAAACAACTTTTCCACACAAATGATGCTTAGAGGAACCCAGCCCTCTTTTGGCAAGAGAAAAGCTGCAGACTCTTTTCGTCATCCGTTGTGTTTTGTGGCTGTCGGGTGTTTTGAAGTAGAGAAAAGAGGAAGAAGAAGACGGGGGTGCGTAAACCATGGCCAGGAAGGAGACAAAGCTAGCAACATGGGACAGGAGGCAGAACTGGCCATTCCACTGGTGCTATAAATGGTGCCCAAACAAAGCCTCAGCCTTTGGTTGTGGACAGTATTTGCATTTGTCTTCTGGTCTCTCTGAATCTCCCTTGCCTTGTTGCCTTTGTTCCTCTGACTGTTGTGTTTTAAGGATTACTTTTTTATTATGTGAGCCAGCTGAAGGATGCAGCTGACATTGTCTTTGAAGAAAGGAAAAGCTGGGAGGAGAGGGCCCATGAAGAGAGCAGGAGCACTAGAAGTACACCTGATGCCTGCTTGTCTGCAGGGACCGGCAGAGGCTCTGGAGGGTCCCGTGGGAACCCCCCGGCTGGAGAGGAGGCCGTGCCTGCCTTTCACCTTGCCTCTCTGATCTCCCCCTCTCCAGATTTGTACATGACCTTCCCAGGGAAATCCTTTCATGGCGCCTGGTCTGCAGATCTGAGCTTTCCTTCGCTGCAGGCTGCCAAGCAGCAGTGCAGCGTATTGGGCCAGGGCTGTGATGTCGTGGTCAGCACCGTGGCAGGCCATCACCTTATGGTGGGGAGACGCTTTGTCAGCCTGGAGGACCCTGGAGCAGCAGCCGCCGCTGCCGTGCACGTCAAAACAAGGTGCTCCCCCGGCTACTCTGGGCAGGACTGCCAATCAATGTGTCCTCGATGCGAACCCAGCCTGAGCTGCAACCCACTGACAGGCCTCTGCGATGGCTTCCTCTATTACCGAGAGGCTCCCGGTATGTGAGCCTGGGAGGACTTAACCTTGGCGTGGTCTGTCCGCCTGCTCTCACGCTGCATCTCCCACAGCCCAGCCCCAAGACCCTGGGCTGAGCCCGGCTGGATCTGGCAGAGACGTGCTGCCCTGGTGCAGCCGGGGGCTGGCCTCGTCGGTGCCCCTTCTTTGCAAGCAGGGCCCTCTCCCGCGAGCCCAGAAGGACAGGTGAGGGGCCCAGGCCCTGAGGGCCAGGCCTGAAGAAAGGAGGAAAGCTTGGGGCATAAAGGGTGGGATCTTCCAGGCAGGTGATGTCCACCTCAGATTTCTGCCCTGGCTCCCATCTTTGTCTCACAGCCGTCATTGCCTCGCTGAAGTGCCTTCCACTTGATGTCTGGATGTTTGAGCAAGGCAGTTGCTGGTCTTACGAGCGCTACAGTAGTCAGGCTGAAGCCAATGCCGTTTGCAAGAGGTATCTGGGCAGCACAGTGCGGAAGGTCCAACCCCTGAGCCAGGTGAGGGGCCTGACTGGAGGGGCAGATGGGACTTCTTCACATCCTTTGAAGTTGTTATCTCCTCTCTAGTGCTCCGAACCTACCAGAGAAACAGGCATAATGTGATTGCTCCACCTAAAGAATTCTTGCAAGGAGCCTTTAGAACTTGAAATGCATCATCTGTCAAGCTCTCCTCTCTCTCTGTCTCTCTCAGATCCCAGCTGACCTTTCTGCAGATGGAAGGCGAGGCTTTCAGCAGCCAGGTGGTTTACTTTGGGCTTGTCAGCGAGATGAAGGTAGGAGCCTTGCTCCCCACAACCCGAGATGAGTTCAAACCTGGGGGATGAAAAACGGAGAGGGGCACAGGTTTTCACACACAGATGCTTTACTCTGAAATCACCAAGAGGTGAACTATGCAGAGTAGCATTTGGTAAGGAGAGAACATTTTACAGGTCACAGCTTTACAGCTTAATTTTACCTGAGTGCCTCAACAGGCCCACCATCTGGCTTCCTCTTGTGGCTAACCCGATGCCCCAGTGGGAAGCCCCAGCCAGCACAGGAAGCTATTCGTGCACTCCCCAAGCAGCTGATCATTAGAGAGGCCAACAGCCTGTGACACTGGAGGCAGCATATCGCCCTCGTGGCTACTAGCTACTGACGGGCTTAGCCTCCTTTCATACACATTCCCTCCTTTCCTTCTTCAGTTGCTTTTGAGCCTCTCACTCAGTGTTATTTCACATCCAGTGGTTGTTGATGTGGAGAAACACAGGAGAGAGAGAGAGAGAGAGAGAGAGGGAGGGAGGGAGAGGGAGAGAGAGAGGGAGAGGGAGAGAGAGAGAGAGAGAGAGGGAGAGATCTTGAACTTGGGGTCCTGAGCTTCCCTCAAGTTGCAAAGGCAGACGTCGTTTCACATCTTTCACGCTGTTCCCCTACAGATGTGGAGCTGCCTTCGTTTAGGGAGAAGTTACTAATTTCCCACCAGGGTGCTCCTCCCGAGCAGAGGCATGGGTCGCTGCAGGAAGCCAAAGACGCCTGCTACCTGCAGAAGGAGCACTGCACGGGGCTACTGAGCCTGAACGGGGCTCATTACACAGTGGCCGGGACGGTACTGGTTGACAGCCCTGGCTCGGGGGCCCGCCTCTCTGTGAAGGCAGGTCAGTGCCTGCCTGTCCTGAAAGGCAGGAGTGTGGGGCTCCTCTCCGTTGGCATTTCAGGGCTGTCCTGGGCTCCCTGGCCCCCTTAACCCGCAGTGCTGCAGAGGAGAGCCCTGGTGGATCAGACAGCCGGTCTCTTAACTCCAGCTGTGGCCGCTCAGATGCTCTCTGGAACCCCACAGACAGACAGGGCCCAGGAACAAGAAGTGGACTTGTTCTTTGTCTTCAGCATGTGGTCTTCAGAGGCGAGCTGGCACCTGAATGTGGCCTTCCTTTTACACTCGGTTGATACGGTTGATAAACACTCATCATGAAAACTGATCATACCAAAGTTGGGCTACCTAGTGCACCCTTGGTTCCCATAATGGCTAGGCCCAGAGGCAGCTCTGAAGCCCACTGGCTCGTCTGGAAGGGTATTCTTCATTAGAGGGGGGGCCGTTCAAGGCTGTCAGGTTTTGGTGCATTAATTTGAGTTGTGAGCCCTGTACAGCCTCTGCCTCAAAATCTATAGAACAAGCCAGTTCTGCGGGAGCTGGTAGCAGCCGTGGTAACAGGGATAGCTCTTTGGAAGAAGCCCAAGTCTCCTTTTAAAGGGAAGTGACCATCTTTCCAATGGCTCCTCTGCTCACAGCTTGCTCCCCTGGGTTCTGCGGGAAGCACTGCCGGAGACGCTGCGCTCCTTGCCTGAGCACGCGTACGTACAACCCGCTGACTGGCCGGTGCGATGGCCTTCTGAGCTGTGTGCATCGCTTCAGCCCTTCATGTCCTCACGGTAAAGTGCATGCTTTTCTTTTGTGGTTACTTTTCGTTGTCGTTAGAAGTCCACAATCACATACATCTCTCATGTCTTAAGCCGACATATACGTGTATTCAGGTCATGTTATACAGTTGAATTATTAACGTTTAAGCTAGCTCATTTAAGAAAGGCTGTGGGGCAGGGGGGAAGAATGACATCAGTGTGTAAACTAATACAGGTGGTTCAGTTTTCTGAATAGTCTTCCAAATAGAACTCCCAACAGTAAGACAGTTGTTCAGATATAGGAAGTGATATTTACAGAGCATCGTAAGGGTGGGAGCCACACAAATTTCCAGGGGAAAAACATTCCAGAAGGGAGGTGCTGCCCTCAGGCATCTACCCCTGAGGAGTTATTACCTTCAGGCACCACTGAAATTATCCAGAAAGACTGGTTTTGAAAACAACCGGTTGATTATGATTTTGAAAACATAACCAGGACCCTCGGGGGCATTAGGCACCACTTGCAAGGTTGGAGGTCCCGGCCCTGGGCTACCGGTTGCCTAGCCCCAGCCTTTCTCAGCTGGCAGAGCTAGTGAATTTCCCCATCTGCGTTCCCCTTAGGTCTGGTGCATTCCAGATGTCCAAGGGATCCTGGCTGGTGGTTCTGGGGCGGTCACTGCTATTACGTGGAGGAGCAGAGCAGCAAGAGCTGGCAAGAGGCCAGAGCTGCCTGTCAAGCTTATGGTGAAAGCATGGACCTCCTGGCTCTGAGTCATCCCAAGGAAAAGGCCAGACAATCTGAACATCTCTTGGGGGGGGGGGGCGTTGCTGGGAAAGGAAAAGCTTCCCCCGTGCCGGGCAGTAAAGAAAGGAGAGGCCTCCTCCGCCTGAGCGTTCTCTGTTCAAGCTGCATCCTCTTGGTTACGTGGCCGTTCGGGACGCTTGCGGCTATTGTTTGAGTTAATCTGTCAGCTCAGGTTAGAAGTCAAAGCACAAAAAGACATTTAAACATAAGCAAGCAAGAAGAGCATAAAGGCAAGCAAGGCACGCTGCTTTCAGCAAGGTTGTTTGCCCTCTTGATCCTTCTGGGGCATGCCAGGATTGCAGCCCGAAGGGCAGGCCCACCTTTCCTCTCCCTCTGTGCCAGCCCCTGGAGTAGGCAGACGTCAGCCGCAAGCCTTCCCGTGGAAGGGCCCCATGGGCCCCCACGCTGCTCAGTCTCTGCGGGAAGAGGATAGGACCCTTCTTCAGCAAGACGGGCCTCCTTTCCGGTTGGATTCAGGCCCACGTGACAGCTGAAGGCTTCAGAGTGAGCAAGACCCCTTTTCCCTCACAGGCCTGGGTGACAGCCATGGTACAGAGGGGCAGCTGGACAGGGCTGAATGATGCCGATGAAGATGGAGCGTGGAGATGGGAAGGAGGCCAAGCTGATAGTCTCTCTCCACCTTGGTGAGTGCCTTGGAGCAGGAAGTTGCCCTCGGGAGAAGTTGGCCACTATTTTGATCATCCTGTGGTAGTCTGAAGCTGGGGCTTCTCTATCGTGCTCTGCCTCTCACTCCGGATCCTTCCTCACTCGAGACCCTTCCTCTTGGGCTCTGTAGAGGCCACCTTATCCCTAAACTCTGAAGTAGCCAGCGTTTGGTCCCCTGAATCTCTTCTTCCACCTGCTGAGAAAGGCCATACCATGGCGTCTGCTCCTCATTTGCTGGGTTTCATATTTCCTGTTAGCCCCGACCCCTGGTCACCCTCTCTCTGGAATGGCACCTGCTTGAGGGCATAGCATTTCTGGTCCAGATATTGACTGTTCAATCCCCAAGAGATCCTCAACCACGTGCAACCCAACTTGCTTCCCCTGTCAGGCTTCCTGACGTGCCACTTGCGACAGGAGGCTGCTTGGAGATTCGTCACACAGGAGACCAGGATTTGGCAGCCTCCCCGTGCTCCCACCTCAAGCCCTGGGTGTGCGAAGGGATCTGGGGTAAGTGGCTTGCTGGGCTGTGGCGAGGTCAGGATCCCCCTGCAGCCCAGGCAGAGTGCCCTGCAGTGACTACCTCTGCACAACGCTCCAAGTACAGCTCAGCACTCCAGGGTAGGGAAACTGATCGGCTGCACATTTTTGGGTAAGGATGCTGATCCATCAGATAGGGTTTGGGAAATGAGGGATATGCGTGGGGGCCGAAACACTGACATCCTCTAGGCATCCCGGGTATTTTCTTCACCCGTACCCCTTCTCGGATGACGTCTCCCCTCTCTGCCTCAGCACCCCAGAGTTCCTGTCCGGCGGAGCCTGGCTGGAGCTACTGGAATGGCAGCTGCTACTTCTGGGACTCTTCTTCCGCTGGTGCATGGCCAAAGGCCCGAGAGGCCTGCCGGAGGTTCAGGAGGACGGAGCTGCTGTACCTGACCTCGCCTCAGGAGATGGTACAATTCCAGTTCTAAACGCCAGGCGCATGGAAGTCTCCTGGCTGCTGGCTTGGGAGCAGGGGCTGCTCTGATTTCAGCAGGCGGCTAGCAGGTGGGAGCCAGCTCCCTCTCGCTGGGCAAGCAAGGCCCCTGCCAAGGAAGTGAAATGCTCTCCCTCCTCTTGAGCTTCAGGAAGAGTTTTCCCTTTCTTCTCCGTGCGTGAGCCAGTCAGTGTGGGGTAGCAACTGGCACATTAGATTCACACCAAGGAGACCTCGGTGCAGCTCCCTACCCAGCCTCAAAGCTCTCCGGATAACTTTGGGCCAGTTGCTCTGTTTTGGTCCGGGGGGATTGTGTGGCGGGGAAGGAAGGGGAAGAGAACATCCACCAGCTTCTGCTCCTGGAAGAGCTCTGTAAACCTGGGAACCGTAGGTCCTTTTTCTTCCATCCAGGACTGGGTGCGCTCGCACTTCAAAGGCTCTTTCTGGACAGGCTTGAATGATCGGAAGGAAGAGTCAGTCTTTCGCTGGACAGCTCTGGAGCCTCTCAGCAAGCAGGTTGCCCAGTAAGTGGCTGTAGGACTGGTGTGCTTGGTGTCATGACTTCCCTCAAAATGACTATCCCCCACCAGCTCAAGCCGAGGTACCTCTCCCCGGTCTCAAATTCTACCACAGCCCATGTGGCTGAATGAGAAGTGTCTCCAAGATTCTGGGCAACCCCCTGCACCCTGACCAGGCATCTGCTGAAGCCCAGTCCCTCCCCCTCCCCTGCGGCCCTTGAATCCCCCCAGTGCCCCCACCACTGCCAGTACGAGGCCTTTGATTCCTCCTGCTTGCTGTGCGCCAGAGCAGCAATTAGAAAACAAAATATAGCTGGGAGGGTGCAGGGAAGGAGTTGAACTGTGGGGTGGCCAGACAGCAAGAGATTTGGCTGGACTTTTTTAGCTGCCAAAGGGCATTGCTTCAGGCCAGTTGGCTGCCTCCTGCCACATGTTGCCAGCTTGTGCTCACTCCATAAAGGGGTGTTACCAGCTGGGGGAAACCCGTGTGACCCCTTTGCCCTTTTGGATGGACAAGATACTTGCGAGATGACCCAGCAAACGGAGGGCTGAAGGACTGTGTGTGGTTGGACTCAGCGACCGGACTTCTGAGTGATGCCAGCTGCGGGGAAGAGAGGCCTTTCCTGTGCAAATGCCGTGAAGGTGAGAGATGGTGGCCGTTGAAAGGAGAGCCCCCTTCCTTTCCCCCGTGGGGCTCCTGCAGGTGGGACAGGAGGTCTGCCAGTTCTTCAGACAGTCCCTTCTGCTCTCCCTCTTAGCTTTGCTGTATTTGCACAGCTTGGGGAGCAATGGTAGCCATGGTTGTTATGCCCCAGAGATGCTGTCCTGGGTGGGCTGCTCAGTCAAATCCCCAAAGTGGGCCTTTTCCAGGGTCCTGTTGGCTCCCAGGCTGCCACCGTAAAGCCTGGTTGATTGTACAGGGACCGACGGTTTATTTCCAGAGGGGCAGATCCCAGGTGCTCCTGGAGGACGGCTCTCTTTCGACTTCTGGGCCCTCCCGGGTCTCTCTTCCTGTTTAGGACCCACAGGAAAGTCCAGAGGGGATTCTGGAGATTTAGGAGTGGGTGTTATCAAATGGGAAGGCTGGAGCCCCCAGGAAAGGATAACGTGACTTTTCCCTTCTTCCTAAACTTCAGGTCTTCCGCTAAACTTCTTTTTTCCTTTGCGTCATGGTTCCCAAGAACTGCATTTATGTTTTGTGAGCCGCTTTGAGCGTTTCTTCTTAGCCTTGAAAAGCAGCTGTGTAGCTACGCTTTTTAATGCACAGTGACTCCTTTTTTAAGTGCTTCGTGAGTTGGCTGACTTGAGTTCCTCTCGTCTCCCCTTCCATTCTTTTCCAGCCATGGAGTGGTTTGATCAGCGGGGCGGCTATGGCGTGGTGGGAGAGCCATCGCTGCTCTATCCCTCTGCCGAAACCCTGGAGGAGGCCAAGCAGGAGTGCCTGCTGGAGCGCCCTGGGTGCGTGGCTGTCCTCGAGACCCGGTCAGGCTTCTACTTGCTCGGCAGCCAGGATGGCGTCACCCCCAAGGCAGACTCGACGCTTCATGTGTGGACCAGTAAGTGCCTGGCTGGGCATCCGGGGTGGGCAGAGGCGGGGGGAACCTCTTCAAATCTCCTTCAAGGGGCCAGAGCCAGTAATGACTCTGAGGCTTCAAAGACACATTGTCTCCTCTCTCGGCTGGGAAAGGAGGCGTCCTCTCTCGGGCCGTGGCCGCGCGTGTCTTTGACCCCCGGGCTCCGCTGAATCCCTGTGATGCTGTGAATAGCATCCCCTGCGCCTGGACAGATTTATTTGCCTTCTTCCAGGGGACAACTTGGCCCGGCACATCCTGACCTTGGCTGAGGGCGGGGGGATCCTTCTTCCCTGGTGTCCCCCTGCGCCTCTGAGAGTCAGCGGATGCCCTGGTATTTAACCGGTCTGTAACACTTCCTAACACAGACTGAAGTCACAAGCTTCTCCATATGGGTTTTGATGTATTAGACACCTAGCAAAGGCCCAAGAGCTGTTTTAGGTAGTCCGTCTTAGAGGGCGTAAGGACTGATCTCCTTGTCCTTCCTCTGCCATTTTGTAGTTTCTCCTGTGGCTCTCATCAGCTTCAGAGGCTTCTGGCTGCTTGAGAGTCATCTGAAAAAAGCAGATATAACAGGTCACATCCGATGCTGGTTCCCGCAGCTGTCTCAGTCATCTCAGGGTCTTCCAGAAATGGGGCTGGGGTCTGGGTGCGCTTGCCTGTCATGCCTGGGCTCTGCTTTCTTTCAGTTTGCGCAGAAGGGTTCAGTGGCCCGGCCTGCCGCAGGACCTTGGCACGCTCACCCCGGCCAGCCTGTGACTGCAGTGGCAAATTTGAGGCAACGGCAGAGAAGGGTAAGGGAGCGAGGGGGCGGCGACAGCTCAGAAGCCAGGCCGGCGGGCAGTGCTTCAGAGTCTCTGCTGGAGGCCCGCAGCGGCTCAGTCAACTGGGGGTTGGTGGAGGGGAGGCTGCCATGTCCAATTCACATGTCTTTACTTGCCCCGAAGTCTGCAAGTTCCAGATGACTGAATGGGCCTCTCTGGTTTGACCTGAGCAATTTTCCAGCGGAAAAGGAATAGACGTAGTTGCAGAAGCAGCACTCGGCCCGGCTGGTTTCTGCCAGCTATCTGAGGCGATTCTGTTCACAGCGTCCCGTGAGGCAAAAAAGGCTTTCCTTTTCGGACAAGACTTGAACGTGCCATGACATAACCTCAGTCTGAGACCATTTTTTTCTTGCCACAGGATTTAAATCCTTTTGTACTTTGCTGCTTTTCTCCCTTGTTTTCTGCTTTAGGAATTTACGTTGTAATAAAGCGCCTAATGTGCTCCATATGATACAAATAAAAGTAGTTTCCCTGTTGGGGACCTGTTGCACGGAAGAGAAGGCTCAGTGGAAGAAAGAGGTGCAGGCTTGCCTGTTGGTGGAGACAGACAGACAGAGACATCTGCAACCTGCTCTCCTCCAGATGTGTTGAATTACAAGATTGATTGATTGATTATGTGCCATCAAGTCAGTTTCGACTCATAATGACCGCATAGATAGATTTTCTCCATGACGATCTGTTCCTAACCTGGTCTTTCAGATCTTCCAAAGGTTACAATACCTATAGTCCCCAGCAAACGTAGCTACGAGAAGCCTGTTCCTTGATTCTTTGTCCTTAAATATCTTATAACCGGTAATCAGGCAGTGATGTAAACATTGGTGTTTAGTCCTTTTTGAAATAATGTTCTGCTGTTCCTTCCGCCCTGACTCTGTTTCTTGTCTGGTGGTCTCTGTGGAAGCTGAGATCCTTTTTGGGAAAAGAGAATTGTGACATAGTTTCAGCCTTTGGCTCTTAGATGCCACTGGCTCTCCTTCAAAGCTGTGAATCTTCCAAGAACATGTTTGCGTTCTCTTCCATTGAGGAAAAACTATTTCTGTCGGCTTGGCATATCTAGGTCCCATCAAAAATATGTCCAGAAAGATGGGTAGATCTTATTTATTTCTAGCAGTTTGTCTAGAAAAAGTAGAGGCTGCCAACTCCCTCCCAAACTCCAGTTCCCAGATCTCTCTAGACTGCCTGAGAGCAAAGAATATGAGTATGACCAGAAATTATACCTTCACTAAGGTGGCCGTGTGGTTTATCTTGCTGCAGTTTGTGGTGTCCCAGTACAGACGTGTGTGGAATACTGTCAGCAGACGACTTCTTGGAATAATTGCTCATTTTGCATCCCTGCCTGCACTGGTGAGTTAGGTTAGAAGCATGTGGGAACACCCCACACTTGTGGGATCCTCTCTTGTCTGAGGTTCCTTCAGCTAAAACTTGCTTTCAGAGAGGCTTTCTTCAGATCGTCTCCCTCCGGTTTTACCAGCCTGGTACTGTTACCCCACGGGTAAGTGCAAACGTAAATGGTGAAAGCTAGTGTGATCATCACAAGCTTTATTAAAGGTAAATACTTACAGGAGTAAGCACGCCATGCTCCCTGGGAGGGACACCAGGTACGTATGCAATGTTCCGCCATGGCATGTCTGTGCCAGGGGGCGGGTTTGTAAAGCTTTTATACACAACACACTGAGCATTCATTAATCCTGGGTGCAAAACAGACTGTCCGTTAAAAATACGTGGGAAACTGACTTATCAGCCTGTGGAACGCCTTCCCTGTGAACTCCTCAGCGCCTCTGCACCTGGCAGTACCCCCACGTATATTCCAGGGCCGTGGTAGGCATCTGCTATTTTTTGTACTAAAAGCCCATGTGGGGGTTCAGTATGGGGCTAGCCTGGTCCAGGGTATACAGGTACACAATAAATATTATGGGAATGGGACTTCCCATAATTCACTAAAAACAGAGTTTATTAATCTAATCTAATCTAATCTAATCTAATCTAATCTATCTATCTATCTATCTATCTATCTATCTATCTATCTATCTATCTATCTATCTATCAAATCTAAATTACCTGGTCCAAACACAGCACTTTTGTGTAATGATAGTACCAGTTGCTTATAGGGAGGGACCTCGTTAAACCCAAGCTGACAGGCCTTGTTTTCTTTCGTGCATTCGTAGACTTCAGCTACTCTGCTGGTAAACTTAGGGTGAGGCACCTGAGCTGATGCTGGTAATATGATCTGAATGGGCGCATTCTTTGTTTTAGTGGCAAGGACTCCAAGCCTATTTAAAAAAAGCCATGTTGGGTGCTCTGGAACCGCTGGCGCTGCCCAGTTCCTCAGCTCACCAATGCTCCTCTGTTGAGCTTCGCGGTCGACTGGCACCCAGTCGCCTTGCCAGCCAGACTTGATGGGCTTTGTCTTGGCAAAACTCGCCACTGGCCAGAGCACGTGCCTTGCTCTGGAAGCAGCTTCTGTCGATCTCCTGAAATACCATCCCTGGCACAGGTGCCCTTGCGGGAAGAACCGCAGCACCCGGTCAAACTCTGCTGCCATGGTGGGAGACCACCATGCTGTAACCGGGGCCGTTCAGACACTCTCATTTTGTTTCTCTCCGTTGCAGAGGCCAGCATGAGCTTCCTGGACCCCGAAGAGTTTGCTCTCATCACAATGATCCAGTTCAAGGTGTCCCATTCGCTCAATCTCACGACAGAAGACGAAAGGGACCGAGCAGTCTCGTCCAAAATCATATATGACGCCAAACACCCATGACAGAAAAGGGAAGGAAGGAAGGAAGGAAGGAAGGAAGGAAGGAAGGAAGGAAGGAAGGAAGG